TGAAGAAATGGAACGTTGTGGTTTATGAATTGAAGAAATGGAACGTTGTGGTTTATGAATTGAAAAAATGGAACGTCGTGGCTTATGAATTGTTTTTAGTTACTCAAGAGAACCTGAAGTTTTCTTTGTATTTTTCTAGAAATTTAGTGAGTAGGTTTTACCAATAGTAATTAAAAGTGATGCAACATCGAAGACCTATCCACTTGATTCGTATAGTGAGTTATTTGATCAATGATATTAAACTTCTAGAATTAAACGAAGATTAAGGAATGGTTTATAAGATACTTACGTAATTTTCGTAAGAAAATGTAAGAACTTTGTAAATGGTGGTAATATCTGTACTAATTTTTAATTCACAATTCTTCCTTTTTTTTCGTATAAATTTCAAGTATTTATACATCGACGCCGATTACCATTATTCTATACTTTTATTAAATCTTTGTTTTTTTTTAATTAATGCGTACACATATAAAATAATTATTAAGATAAAACAATTTTTTCTTAGAATGTCTTATGAAACAAATTAATAAACCAAAATATTAGAGGGCAGCCACGTTTTTAACCACAAATCCATCACCATTATATAATTTGAAATTATGATCGAGTTAATGTTTTAACCAAAAGTAAAAAAGATCTAGACTTTCAAAGTATACTCCCGTACTTCCATCCATCCATTTATACATACATACATAGATTTATCGCAGTTTTCTCGCTCTTACAAGACTTAACACGAGAAAGTCATTAGGGCAACATCAAAGAATGGAAACCAAGAGAGCATTACTCTTAAACTTGGCTGATCAAAAACTGCTCAAGGACAGAACGTTACCATGGTAACAGATATGGAGCATGAGAAACTAATTAATAGTAACTTGAACAATAAATTTGAAGGAAAAAAAAAACAGTTCATGAATATAATGTTGGACAGTTCTATTTGAAACTATTAAAAAAATAAATTAAAACCCTGTGTGGACATGGTGTATTACAGATCTAATGAGGGTCAAATGTATCTCTAAAGAGATAACTAAGCAACTACAGATTCTTTTTGTTTAGAAGAAGAGAATAAGCAATACGCTTACCTGTACTTGAGGGTTATGGGCTAAAGCTTCCTTCTTCCCATTAAGTACTGACTGACGTAGTCGAATTGTAACGGGGTATATAGGAATACTTTCCGTGTAAAATGTATTTGTATACTTATCTCTGTTGAGACGACCAATCATCTTGATGGTATTGTCTTTGAATTGTTCCTTTGTTTATTTACAATACTATCTTATGTGTTACTGGAAGAACTGGTGCACCTGCAAGAAAAATAAAGTGAAGAAAACATCATTAAAATAAGTATTGTTGTTGTCGCTAAAAATGTAAAATAAGCGCCTAAACGTTTCTATTTCCTAATAAATTTCAACTTTAGCATAAATATAAACGGATTCATTCCGAAACAAAATGTAATTTAACACCAGCCTTTTTAACGTGGACTTAATAAATTATGACTATCTTGTTTGTAAATAAAGGATATATAATCGTTTAGAAAGTGTGAACGTGTTTAACGAGTGGCACTTTCTATATACAAACCAACGAGTATCAGAGAAATATCGATACTAGGAAATTAATCTTGTTGTTGGTTGGTCGTTGATTGAGATATTTTTAGAAAGAGGTGACTACTTTTAGAGTGAGGCCTTAAAGCGATTTGGAGTTGTGAAATTAGAACAATATTGAAGCACAGGCCTAGCTATGAATGTTGAGAATGTTTGAGGAATGTATCTGTTTAAAGATATGTCAATATCTTAAGTGTATTTCTTTAAATGTAGAAGATATTTTAGAAGAGTAAGCATTGAAAAAGTGTTAAGATGCATTGAAAGCCCTTTGTTTGAAGAGTTCGTTTCGTTGAGAGTAGAAATAGTTGAAAATAGGCATTGATGAAATCACAAATAACGAATCGTTTTTTGTTGTTTTTTGCGACAAGAAAGTGTTTGCAGAGTGAGTCGTTCGAGGAAATCGGCATTATTGAAAATATTTTTGATGAATATGAAACAGAAAGGTGTAATTCTTTCAAAATATACTTTGGTAGATTTGAGAATTGTAAAGGAAAATTTATTAAACAAATGTAAGAGTACGAAAGTGAAAATAATACGTAGTGCTTGTTAAGATATTAAAAATGTTGAGAGGTTGATTAATATAGTGCTATCACGACGAAGAGTTTGTTGGGTACTCCAGTCTGGTGGTTTAAGCGTTTGTTAGGTACTCCAGTCTGGTGGTTTAAGCGTTTGTTAGGTACTCCAGTCTGGTGGTTTAAGCATTTGTTAGGTACTCCAGTCTGGTGGTTTAAGTGTTTGTTGGGTACTCCAGTCTGGTGGTTTAAGCGTTTGTTAGGTACTCCAGTCTGGTGGTTTAAGCATTTGTTAGGTACTCCAGTCTGGTGGTTTAAGCGTTTGTTGGGTACTCCAATCTGGTGGTTTAAGTGTTTGTTAGGTACTCCAGTCTGGTGGTTTAAGCATTTGTTAAGTACTCCAACTTAGAGAAGATCGTGGATGCTATCTATTGGAACAAAAAAAAGTTGATGACTTAATTTTGTCAAATTGGTTTGACGTGAAATATTTACTAAAAAATCGTTTCCTGGGTATTGCATTTTGTTGAAGATCGAAATTGGGAAGTAGAAAAGAAAGGTAAACAAACTGAGATTTCAAATATGAGAGATGTTAGAGAACGAATCTTATTCTGTACCAAATCATTTTAACAAGAGCAACTTCTTGTAAAAGATTTTTTACAATAATTTCAAGAAATTAGTAGTCTTTAGTGAATAGGATTTATAAGTGACTTTATATTTAAAAAAATAAAAACAAATTGTGTTGAGAATATTCACCTAGATGAGATTAATGATAATGTGTTTTGTAGGGACAACCAATACGTAAGTAGTTATGCACAAAAGTACATATTATGTAACTAACTAGAACCTAATAAAGCATATATATTCAGATTTCTTTGTTTCATAAACAACTTTTAATCTGCATGGTTTAATGTACATTAAATATAAAGAAATTTAGTCATGAATAGTAAATTTTAATGCTTAAAATGTTCACTAGATGGCAGAGCAAATTTTTTACAATTAGTTTGGCAACTTTTTGTACAACGTAGTGCTTTAATTTGCAAATATTTTGTTTTTTTTGGCAGTCGATTTAACAGTAATGGACCAATTAGTGTTAATTAATCTCTTTAATAGTGACTTAATCGACATAAGTAGTGTTGTTAATAACATTCTGATGTACAGCAGAGACTCAAGCAAGACTGAAATCGAAAGAAAAATGCAACCATCCCCTAGCAAGATAAGCAAATAGCGCAATGACATAGGACTGGTGTCATTAATACTGCCAAAGCCACAGCCATGTTTTGCACACTCAACAACAAAATGACGATAAGGACAAATTATCTACATCCTTTCAGGGTACTGTCATCACTTTTGAAGAAACACTGAAATACTAAGAAGTAACGTTTGATAAACAACTCAGCTTCATCAGCCACATTAACATCATGAAAGCACTCGAGTTTTGGGTCTTATTTTAAGTTTATTACACTTTACATGTGATCCTTTGTGCTAACTCTTTTATCAAGAATGATATGGTAGTGTTATCAAAGGTATCAACGCAATGAAAGCTGCAACACAAAATACAGCTGAAGAATGCTGCTTTATTATGCTTTACCAAAGTCTTATCTGCTTCATCCTCGATTATATAATGCTGATGATTTGTATCAGTGCTACGCAGATGCATACGATTGAAAATATACAAAATACCTGTTTAATACTGGTCATGGGATGCATTCAGCTGCCCCAATCAAAGCCATATTACACCCTACAAGGCTCAGCAGCATCACGGAGCACCAACACCGTTTACAAGTAAAATTATTTACTATGGCCTTACAATGTAAAGACTATGCATTCTATCATCGAGTCACAACTCTTTCCAAGTGGAACATTCAAGCTCCAAAACAATCCCACAAACACCAAAATAGGCAACTGAGGATACGGTCATGAGTAGCAGCTATACAGCAAAGATCATGTTGGACTATCACCTGTCATAGGCACAGATGATTCCTACATCACATATGGTGAAAGAGCTGTTTGGGCAGGTGTTCATGAAGTTGCTTCTCTTTCCTCAGTCTTATGGGAACCAACCATTCTGAATTTTACGCAGTAGTGCCCGTCAGCCTTTCTCAAATATTATGTTGGTGGCGCTATATACTTGCGGTTCATTGCTTTCAGCAATCTAGAGGAGCATTAAATTAACAAACAACGGTTTGTAAGCACAATGAAGAAAACGACCAAGATACCGTACAAAATTTATTTTTCTTCAAGAAATATTACTGTGTTTGCAGATGGTTGTTTGTTTATGTACTACTGCATTAATGCATTCCATACACAAATAATCCAGAGGAGAGTTTACTTTATGGCTCCTAGCTCCATCCCAGTGCTGCTTCTGGGAAGCTTGAATGCTTCACCAGCCTTATGCATAATGACAAGTCTTTCACCTGGATGTATGTGCCAGGCCATGCAGGAATAAGGCTTAACGAAGAAGTGCTTACAAATCATTGTTTGCTAATTTAATGCTCCACTAAATTGCTGAACAGCAAATAGATAGTACCACCAACATAATATTTGAGAGAGCCTCACGGGCACTACTGCGTAAAATTCAGAATGGTTGGTTCCCATAAGACTGAGGAAAGAGAAGCAACTGTATGACAAGTCCTTCACATGGATCTACGTGCCAGACCATGCAAGAGTAAGGCTTAACGAAGAATTGCTTACAAGTTCGCAGAAGAAGCTCCTATATCAAATTCAGCACAACTCTAATGGCAAGATATTGATCTCTCTCTACATTAATGCCTCTCCCACCCCAGTGGTTTAGCGGTAAGTCTGAAGGCTTATAACACTAAAATATGGTTTTCGATACCCGTAGTTGGCACACCACTGATAGTCCATTGTGTATCTTTGTGCTTAACAAAAACAAACAAACAAACCTTCTGCATGAGTAAGGCGAAAACGGCTACCATGGAAAAAGGTCTTAATTGTCATTCAGAGGGGTGAAACTACTGGAAAATGAAGTAACGTATTGCATAACTAGGATAAGCAAAATGTGGGGAAACAATAGAACAGGATTCAGCCAGAAAGCCGCTGGTAACCCCAGTGAATGAACTTTCCTTTACTTCCAACCGGCCTCCAAATGAGGGGTCAGCATCTATCGTTGCAACCCTTGGAATTGCCAGCTAGTAGTCAACTCAGTAATGTTGTAAATCTTTAACCTTAAATAATTATATAAATTACCTAGCAGAGAATAATGAATGACTGAATCTGTTTCAGATTTTTCAGGAAAATGATTAACACTCATCTTGAAAGATGCACAGGCGTTTAGAAGCTTGTCTATATTGTTCAAAACGATTTTCCAAAAGCCTAGCGAAGATCTAGTGATCATCTGTGCCACAATTTCGAAACACAGTCTAAAAAAAACAAACATAAAAATCTTAAAATATATTGTTTGATTTGAAGTTACGCACAAAGCTACACAATGGGCTATCTGTGCTCTGCCCACCACGGGTATCGAAACCCGGTTTTTATCGTTGTAATTCCGCAGATATACCGCTGTGGTACTGGAGGCTTGAAGTATATTAAACCCAATAAAATGAAATAAAATTAACCGTTTTCTTATAAAATGAATGGAACTCCAGACACTTTATATTTTATATCTTTCAGCTTGAGAATTGATATTTAAATGTTGTGTAATATTGCTTTATGTGTTAATATTTGAATGTTGTATAATATCGCTTTATGTGTTAATATTTAAAAGTTGTGTAATATCGCTTTATGTGTTAATATTTAAACGTTGTGTAATATCACTTTATGTGTTAATATTTAAACGTTGTGTAATATCGCTTTATATGTTAATGTTTAAAAGTTGTGTAATATCGCTTTATATGTTAATGTTTAAAAGTTGTGTAATATCGCTTTATGTGTTAATATTTGAATGTTGTATAATATCGCTTTATGTGTTAATATTTAAAAGTTGTGTAATATCGCTTTATGTGTTAATATTTGAATGTTGTATAATATCGCTTTATGTGTTAATATTTAAAAGTTGTGTAATATCGCTTTATGTGTTAATGTTTAAGCGTTATGTAATATCGCTTTATGTGTTAATATTTAAAAGTTGTGTAATATCGCTTTATGTGTAAATTCACGATACATTTCCACTGAAGCAGTGAAAACTCACAAAGTATAGACATAGTAGATGAGCTGTATCATGATTGAAAA